GGTTAGATACATTTTGGTATTTTATAAGTTCTTCTATAATTGACTCAAGAATTAAAACTATTAATAAGCAGCATAAGTCAATCAAATAGTAAGAAGCTATATATATATCATTATTCAGACTAAGCGTTTATTCATAAATTAGTATTGTATAGAGATGGTATTTGCTGATGTTGATGATGGATTAGGTCTTATGTATCAGCGATATGATGGTTGATGTTTGTTTGAGTGTGCTGATTGGAGGAGCTACAGTGAATGCTCTGTCGCTCGCCAGGATTCGGGTGCTGGTCCTGGTGTGGTTAGCAGGAGTGGATCAGGGATGATGCGTTGCGTACGCGAGGAATTGTTTGCTGATGGAGCAGTCGGTAGAAGGCCTAGTTATGGAGCTTTGTGTGTGAGGAGGAGGATTTTGAACTGAATATGTTGTGGGACAGTCAGTGGAGGTTCTGGAGGACAGTGGGTTATGTGTCAATGTTGCGGTTGTGTGAGCAGTACGAGCTGCAGAGTTTCTGGTGTTATCTGGACGTTTCATTTAAGGTTGTTTGGATGTTGCCATAGAGGATCTGGCAGTATTCGATTCTGGAGGGTGATGAAGGGTGGATGAGGTTCTGCAGAGAGAAGGATGAGTGTTGGCGGAGTCGGCTATGTTTTGAGGTGAAGAGAAGGCAGTTCTGGTGATTTGGTTTATGTGATGTTCAAAGGAGAGGTTATTGTCAAAGATGACTCCGAGGTTGCGACTGTGGGGGGATGGAGACAGGGTGGAGTTGTCAATGGTGAGGTAGAAACTGTGAATGGTTTTAGTGATAGTGATAGAGCAGCCCTGTCACTGTGGCACCTGAGTTCAACCCCCCAGACCCTCTTCACGGAGTCCCGTCAGGATGAACACAGCTGCATCTAATCACGTTAGATATGTTAGATCCAGTTTGATTCAGCCAAGCCTTTTTCACAGCAGACATTCTGACACAGTTCCAATGCCCCAGCAAATCTGCAGACTTATCTCAAGGAAAGACCCACAATGCATAGCATTGTGACATTAAAACAGCAGTGAAAGTATTGTGCAACTTAAAAAAAGAGATAAGCAAATGTGCTGATTTAGTCTGTATTCCCCAACACAAAGTCAGGAAACAGGCAGCACTCGAGAACAGCGAATCCATCCATCTGAACGCCGACGGACAGTCAGCGGCTGTTCAGCTCTGAGTCACACATTCTCCGATGAGAAGAGAAATAGACTGAGTTGCAACAAAGCAAAGACACTTATTTTTTTCGAGTTCTTTGTTTCCTGGCACAAAAGAGCAAGTAACCAACTAAATTTTAAACAGTTGTATCGGTCCAGAATTTACCAGTCTGTGCATCCCTAACACACACACACACACACACACACACACACATACACACAAATACAACAAAACAAGTTTGAGAATGAAGGATGAATAAAGAAAATTGAAAAAGTTATAAAATATATAATATTAAAAAGTAACAGTTTAGAAAAATATCGATAATACATATCCATTGAGTTCCGTTATGTGCCAGGAAAAGTGAGCAACTGCCCCAGGCTCCAAGGGCACTACTCCTAAACTCTACTGAAGCAGATTATAAACTAAATTGAGGGGCATTAATGTGGCTCATTCATTTCTGAGACCCTGTCATGTACAGGAGCCCTTTGCAATAATAACTTCATTATTTCAGTTGGTATCATGTTTACACTGTGTACATTCCTAAATAAGTATAGATTTAAAGACATAAACTCAAACTAATTGACACAAAAAACCCGGGATGGGTTACTATTCTAGAACAGGAATACTTTTTGGAGGTCTCAGTATGGCCCCACAGTTTATTTTAGTCCTGGGGCCTCATGATTGGTTAATATGGCCCTGGAACAACCAGTAACTTAATCAGTACCTAAAATAAGTTTTTCACTCTAAGCTCATTCACTACCATTAGATACATCTTCAGATGTCCACTAGATGGTGCTATAAACTTAGATTTAATACATGTGACACTATATGACCCTTATGATCACAGAACCAGCAGAGACCAGGACAAACTCAGACCTTTATTACTTTAAAAGACCTCATTCCTTTGTTTAGTTAAGGAAGGGGAGGAGGGAAGTAAAACATTTCATCCTAACGTCTCTTTACTTGTAACTGAATGGTTTGTCACTTCACAGTGCTTACTCTATTCAAACACCGACATTAAGTCAGTAAGTTTGGTGTACGGCACTTAATGGCAGGGACATGAAGACCTAGTTCTGAGGGTAGATGTGTCCTTGTGATCACTCCCTGCTATAAATAAACAAATGAAGTCCCAGCGGAGACAGCCTGTGTCCCCCTTCTGAACCCAAGACTCGTGCTTACCGTCTATAATAAAGGAGGAGGAAGCTGAAATCCAGACAACTACACAATCATGTTTATCCTGACCCTGTTACAAAATCTACACTTTACTTAAAGCTAATAATAAGCCCAATGTGTAAAAAGCTAAACACTGTAGCAGTGCGGTCATTGGAAGACTAAAAGTTTGATTTTGTGTTTTGTAGCATCCAGCAGTTTGCTCAAATCTACAGCCAGAGAATGGGTGTTAGGGCAGAGGTGCTACTCAAAACCCTGTGGGGAGACTTCTACCTCAATGCAAAAGCAAAGAAGATCATGAAAGGAGCTCAGGTAATGTAACTATGAGTGTATTTTTAATCGTTCTCCCATGTTCTTTTCTCCTACCCTCTGCATTTGACACACTTTTAATTGCCTAAGACAAATTTAAAAAAATAATCTGATGTTTACCAAATACTACTGAACTAGAAGAACTTCATTCATTCATTTATCCCCAATGGGAAAATAACGTTTTCCCTCCATTTTGTTGCACTCATAGGCCCGAAATACAATCTCATGCACAGGACTTATAGACATGCACATGTGGCGAGATGGGGGGGGGAGGCTGGCACGGGAGCAGTAATTGGTTATGTGCCTTGCTCAGGGACACCTTGCCAGTACCCAGGAACTGGCCTCTCCCGCTACCAGTCCATACTCCATACTGTGGTCAATGCTGGACTTGAACCAGCGATCCTCCAGTTCCCAAGCACTCTACAGCCCCCCTACTGCTACTTGGGTTGTAAATTGAGTGCTGCAAGGATGATGTATTTTTGTAGACCAACCTGGAGTTTAGCATCGTCCTGGTTTTCTTTCAGCAAGATAATCTTCACAAATAAACTCCACCTTTATGACTTTTGAAGCGTAAATGCCATTGCCAGAAATAAAAAGCTAATGTTAGACTATAAACAAACTACACCACAGTCACATGACTTCAGCATCAGCATCACTAAAATTCCAACTTTAATTAAATCTCGTGAGTCAAATCTACAAGTCAATCAAAGTTTGAGTTAAAATATTTTCCTAGAGTGCGAGTATAAACACAACGCGGCTGTAAAGGCGGACTAGTGAGCAGATAAGTCTTTGTGTTTAATGTCACCAACAACCTCTGTAGTCTCATTTAGACACTTGTTAGCAACCACCTTTTTTAAGACCTGTAAAAGCTTCATAATTCACAGGTGGAGTATTTACTGACATATTTTATGCCACAGAACAAAGCATGAAAATCGATTAAGCTTGTGTTAACCACAGACCTTTTGTCAGTTATCTAAAAAAGTTATCAAAAAGCCATTCAAAAAAACCACTGACCTCGAGGCAAACATGCTGACTCTGTTCCAAATTTTAGGACTCATTCCTGCAGGACTCTGTTGGACATAGATAGGGCTATTGATCTGTTGCAAGGAGAGTGAAAACTTATATTCAATGCTATATTATTATTTTTTTCCCTTTTTTAATTAATTTAAGAATTCAGGAATTTATGCATTTATTTGGATCATTAAACATGGGTACAACCATAAACAAACATTTTTGTATATAAATGAAAAAAAAAAACTGTGTGAGAGACAGATTTGTAATGCAAATAAGAGCTGATTGTTATTTTCTAATTACTTATGCTGTAGCCAGTACACTGGCAATTGTTAATGTTGACCTAACCCTGATCTGCCCCCCCCCTCCACTCAGTGCAGCAGTTCTGCCTCCTGCTGTCTCTCATTTATAATGAAATGAATGTACAGTTCTGTGAGATGCTAATGGACTGCACACTAGCATTCTGCCACCCACTCAGTGGAGCTAACATGAGCCTGTACCAGAGAAGAGCTGAACCCGATCTGTGCTGGCTTCAAACAGATCTGACTGAGCTCATCTTGATGTGCCACATTTGAGACGTGAACCCAACCCCTTATATAGCAGTGATTTCTTCTTCTAAGACAAATACATATGCTCTGTTTTGACAGTGTTTCTCACTTAAAATAATATGGACACATGTATTGTACATGTTAAAGTTGGCAGTTGTGTGTGAGAATCCACACTAAGGAATGTTAACACTGTGTGGTGGCCCCAAGCACACGCTCCAGCTGTGTCTGTATGGTGTATATTGATGACCTGTTACTGCTGTACATCGCACAGAGAAACAAACAATACTTTTCCGATGCCAATTCAATAAAATTAATTTTAACAAAAGCAATTACATTACACATTAAGTACAATTACTTAAGACTAGAGGAAGCTGTTCAAAGGCCTGGGAAATTAAGAAACTACTGGAATATCTGTACAGTATTTGAATATATAAAAAATGTAAATAACTGTCCAAAGGAACATTAATAACAAACAGTAATGGCAATGCACCATTGGAACGTCAAGTCTGACTAGCCCATAGCAGAAGAAGTATAAGAAGGGAATGACTGTTTGGCCAGGTGTCGTCTGTGGTACTGGGAAATAGGATCAGAGTGAGACATCTTACTTTCTCTGCACGAAAGAGCAGCTCACCCAGGTCAACTTCCGGTGCCTGGAAGCAACACCATGTTTGCAGAAGCAAACCTCTGTCTCGGCTGCAGGTTATTTACCTCTCTCCTAAAGGTATTGAAATTTGACAGAAATGTCTCCAAGAGTTTTCGTTCTTTGACTTACCAGGGTCTGTCACCCTGTCTTAAGGAATGCAAGCCCATGGAAAATTACATTTCTTGGGGACTTAGTTGGGAGCTTTACTGTGAGTTGGTGATCTAAATGTGTGTTCCATCCTTTTTCCAACCCTGCCAAGCTCCCCTGAATGTTTGAAGGTTTGTCATGCTGAAACTGCATATTTATTATGACAAAGTAACATCCAAATGAGCAAAACAGCAAAAAACATATATAATTATATCACATTGTCATTTTTTAAATGTGCAGTAATAAACATATGTAAGTATTACATGTTAACAATGTTAACATAAGACAGACCAGCAGGCAGCCTCGTCAGTGTGGCTGCTGTGGAACCATGTTAACGCTCCCTCTCATGCATCCTGCAGTAAACATACGCCTGAATGTCCTATAAAATTGAATGGAATTATGTATGCCATTTCTTTGTTCAGGCCATTCAGAAACCCATATCAGTTGACCACTAGTGTGGATTCAACCATATTAGGCAGCTTCTCTTATTAACAAAAAGATTGCTCCATATCACTGGTTCTTAAACTATTCTATGGGTACCACTGGTGGTATGTTAGCTGGCTCTAGTGACATGCAAAGTTTTTTTATTTAAAACATAAGACTACCAAAATGTAATTTTAAATAATAATGATAATAATGATAATAATAATAATAATAATAATAATAATAATAATAATAATAATATTTTTCCATTCCTGTTATATTTA